TGAAATTGCTTTTCTCCTACCTCTTGGAGTTGGACCAGTCCTGGAACTGACTTTACCCAATCACCCATTACAAAGGTGAAGCATGCAGAGGCTTGAAAGGGCTTTCCCTTTTTGTTCCTGGAATCCAAGCGCCATGTGAAGAAACCCACATGAGCCTGTTGGATGAGATGCGTGTGGTCCAGTCACCCTGACGCCCCAGCTGACAACCAGTCAACTGTACGGCACGCAGTCATCCGAGAGCCGCCCCCCTCCCCTCCCCGACTGAACATGCATCGGATTAGCCCAGCCTGAGATCAGAAAAATTGCCCAGCAAAATCACGAGCCAAAGGACTGCTTGGGGCCACTAAGTGTAGGTTGTTTGTTTCACAGCAAAAATGAATCACTATATAATTCCATTTTACAGATGAAGGAATTAAGGCAGAGATTATGTAACTGGTAAGGTCCCACAGCGATTACATGCTGAGCTGAGACTCAAAGTCCAGCAGTCTGGCTCAGATCGAAGTTTGGCCAGAAGTCCCACAGCTAAGCCATGCTACAAGCCCCAATGCCTCCCAATCATCTGCTTCCCCAGAGGAGGTGAAGTACAGGATATGGACTTACACGCCCCTAAATACCAAACAAGCAACTTTCAGTGCAGAATAATCCTCATTATTTTGCATTTATACTGCTGTTCAGTTTTGCAACGTCTTCAAATACATCCCAACCTTTTAAAAATAACAAGAATTGCCCAAAATTCCATGGAAGGATAAGTGAATAAACCAGAGGTAGTTTAGCCAGGCAATGGAATATCATACAGCCTTGAAAAGAGATGAAATTCTGACACATGCCACAACATGGATGACTCTTGGAGACATGATGCTGAGTGAAACAAACCAGGCAACAAAGGACAAAAACTGCATCGTTCCACCTGTAGGAGGGGGTAGAATAGTCAAAATCAGAGACAGAAAGTAGAATGATGGTGTCAAGAGTCTCTAGGGGAACGAGACTGGGCAATTATTAATGAGTGCAAGAGTTGAGGCATTAAGTTGGTGAGGGTTGCAATGCGAATGGACTTAATGCCATTGGCCTTCAAATACTTTAGAATGGTGAATTTTGTGTTATAGGTAGTTTACCACCATTTTCCAAAAGGAAAAAAATAACCAGGTTTGGGATGGGCAGCAATAAAATAATAAGCCCAGGGTCACCGTGAAACCAGCTAGAACCCAGAGAGCAAAGCAAGCAGGAAACACCCCTGCCATTCAGGCTCACTGAATCACAGGGGCTCCACCCCTGGCCAGAACGTCCCCTGTCCCACACTGAAGGCCGGCAGATATGTCAAAGCAGCTTTTTAAACAAGCCCTGGCTCAAGGACAAAAATCCTGAAATAAATCTGAGCCAGTTCCCCGCCCTCACCCCAGCTGGGCGGGGGGAGGGGGTGTAGGAGCTTGGAGATAGCCACGTTCTTACATCTCTTAGCAGAATTTGGACTGAGTTTCAAAATCACAGGATTGGATGTGACTCATAGGTAGGAGAATGAGTTGACATCAGAAACAACAAAGTTAATGCGAATTTTTGAATTGGGTAACACAATTTCTACCAGCTTGACAACTACAAATCTTACAGAGTTTACATCCTTTGGACGCCCTCTGACAATCTATGCTGGTCCAGTGAGACTCTGCTGGGTAGACATGAGCTTTCCAACACATTATAAAATCACCACGGTAAGATTTATTTAAAAAAAAAAAAAGGATAGGAGATATATATCACTGTTAAAAGACGGTACGGGGGCTTATTTTCTCCATTTTGTCTATTTTCTAAATTTCTTGTGACTTTTTTCTTTTTTTAATGAAGTCAAAACCTAAGCTTGGCAGGGATTCTCTCGCCAAAGACACCATCTCATGTAAGACCTCCTGAGAGAGCTGGAGCCGGCCCTGGACTGTCCTGGCTCCAAGGATGAGGATGCAGAGGCTCCAGGAATGGGGGGCCTGTTTCTACGCCCTGGCAGGGTCAGGCGGGTGTGTAAATATAGAAAGGATGGGGGTAGGGAGAGGACCAGAGGAAAAAAACAGGAAGGCCCGCTTGGCAGCAGCCGAACCCTGCCCCCTTCACCACCATCAGAGGCCAGAGGAGCGAGGCATGAACGGTCCAGCCACCTGGCCACCACCGCCGCCACAGAGGCCAACGAGACATCTTGTGCTGGTCTCGGTTTTTGAGCATCCTTCCGGTTCTTCTACCACAGTCAACAAGGTCCCCTGGGGTGCGGGAGGGAAGGGTCTCTCTGAGCCTGCTCTGCCCTCTTCTTCCTGTGCCGCCTGCAGGGAAGCGGGGGAGGGCTGGCAGGCGCAAAGCCTGGGGGCTAGGGCTCTCCCTGGGTTCTGCTGGCTGAGCGAGTCAGCCAAGTCAGCCACCCCTTGGATCTGGGCACCAGCTGATGAGGCCTGGTGACTCAGGAGCTGGCCCACGGGACCCAGCGATCGTCACGGTCATTGTCCTTGCTGGCCAAGAGAAGGCATGAGAGGAAGGAGGTGCCACAATGCCCTGCTGCCCAGCAGGGGGCTCTCCCACCCAGCTCCCTCCCACCTCCTGTCCCATCAAAGGGGGTTGGGGCACAGAAGAGAAGATGGGATGAAATCTACTCCAGATGTGTCACAGCCCATTGGGGAACCACCCACCAAATTAGATTTGAATGAACCCAACCCAGGTGAAGCTGGATTTGTCACCAACTTTCTTCTTCTGCTGCTTATCTAAATTGAGAGTCAGGGGACAAAGGAGGAAAAGCTCAAAATCTCCCCGAGGGAGGGGCAAGGGGAAGGCCTGGTCACTGACGGTGAGCCCGGCTCACCATTCGCTCGTCGGCTCAGTTACCCATCTGTTCAATGCTTGGCCCCTTTGGCATGTGGGCATTGCAGACACGGCTATGAACCAGACAGAACAAACTCCCTGTCCCCAGGAGCTTCACTGCTGTAAACGAGAACAAGTCAGGGAGAGGAGTGCCATGGAGAAGCAGCAATTCAGGAACAGGGGCTGGGAGTTAACATTTAATGTCAGCCCAGGAAGATCTGGCTGGTAAGGTGACATCTGAGCAGAAAGCTAAAGGAGACGAGGGACCGGACCGCTGAGGGTTAAGACAATGACAGAGGGAAGGACAAACGGGGGGAGCTTTTGAAAGGCAATTTCAAAGGCTCAGAGAGGGAAGCCCACTGTCAGCACAGCCAAAGGTCAGCATCCATCAGCTGGGCACAGGGACTTGAGAGCCAACCTCCAGCACCCTGGGCACAAAGGTCCCTTTAGCCAGCTCTGCCCCAAAACCTGGCAGGCTCAGGGAGCAGGTGGAGAAACCCCAAGGCCTGGCTTTTCCTTCAAGCCAATGCTTTAGCAGACCACGCAAGCAACCCACCGCACAGGTGCAGGGGATGGAGCATTATGGGCTCAAAAGAATCAGAGGACAATAAATTCAGGTGTTGAAGCTTTTCTGAAATAGCTTTCATCACCTCCTTGGTACTGATCCAATGTTCATACTGAGTCACCAGAAATTTGCCCTCTCATGAGACCCAACTCCGGCAACAGTAGGTCAAGAATTCGAGCCACTGGCTCCCCATCTGCCACATGGGGGGCCCTGAAGGTTGGCTCACAAGGAGCTCTGGAGGGAGGGTGCTGGGGTCTGGAGCTTCTGGGATCTAGCAAGTAGCTTTAGGAGGTTTCTGCTCCTTGGAAATCTAGAGGCTTGGGTGGGGTCCAGAAGGAGGAGGAAAACGGGAGTGGCTGTTCAGGGCGTGTTAGAGGAGGAGTAGTTGGCACTTTGAGCTTGTTCTGGCCAGGGAGGGCGGGAAGCTTTCAGGCAGGCAGTTTATTCTGTCTAGGAATAAAAGCAACATAGCTGCCATCTCCCAGCCAGAAAGCTCAGCTTGGGGTTCAGGGTGTAAAACTCAATTCCACAATCAAGATCTCGGCAGAATTGCCCAAATATCAATAGTATCCCCTGACGAGACATTTGAGAGGTGCCTGGAGGCCCACCAAAGACAGGGAATGCGCAATTCTGGCCCTTTACCCTCTTTGGGTTCAATCTCAGCATGCTCCTAGATTTCTGGGTCCACCCTGCCGTGATCGTCTCGATTATGCCCAATACACTGTGCACACGGTAGGTGCTCAAGTACCTGCCACTCACTGAACATGTTCTCACACAGAGACTTTCGGAAGCAGCATCGTCCATCACGGAAACACAGCCCAGGGACAGGAACCGCGATTTGGACCAGCCATAGAGGCCTCAGGCCATGCTGGAGACACCCCAAAGCAAACCAGAGAGGGCCGAGGGGTGGGGTGACAAGCCCCCAGCCTAGGCCTGGCACACAGCAGGCACTGAAACATTGGGGTACCTTCCTGTCCCCATTCCCAGCTTGGGTTCTCAGCCGGAGGAGGTGACACCAGCAGTGCCTCTGTGCCCATCCAAGGAAGACACCCCCGAGCCCAGAACCCACTTCCATGAGTCCCAGCGGCTGCCTGGCCACAGCCCCCCTGCTCCCCTTCTCAGGCCTTGGCTCCTCAGTTGCTTCTTTGGGCCTCAGAGCAAGAAACTGATGTTTCCAGAGAAGCAAAGCAAACATCTAATTGTCGCCGCACACAGGGAGAATGGGGTGGGGTGAGGCGAACCTCCTCCTGCCCCCTGATGGGCGGTCACCAGGATGGCACGGGGGCAGCCTGCTGCTTCGGACACAGCCTCTCACACGCACCAGCGGGCCTCGCTGCCTGGGAAGGGGGCCTGGGCACCGCCTCGGGGGCAAGGCGGCCCTGCTCCCAGCCTCCTCCAGGTGCCAGCCCCACCCCTACTAATAGCATCAAGGCAGGAAGATTGTGGGGGAAGGCGTCTAAGAGGCCAGCTCCAAATGCCGCTGTTCACAAAGCCAGGGCTACCCTGCGCAGCGCAGGTCTGACCTCCGAAGCGTTCGCCGGGAACAGAAGTGAGGAGGTGTCTCCCGAACCCCCGGGGGGTTGGGCAGCCAGGGAGCCGGCTGCAGGGCTCCTACCTGCCTCGCCACCCTCCGCGCCTCCCAGTAGGGCTTCGAGTCTTCCACAGCTTTGCCGATCTTCTTCACCAGCTCGTCCAGCTTCACCGTGGCCTCCACCAGCACAGAGCGGAACTTCTGACGAGCGTCCTGCAGCCGGGGAGACCAGGAAACAGTTCAGGCTTCAGCAGCAAAAATCTACCCGAAACCCACGGAGGCCCCCACCATCTACAAGCCCCTGGTGGCACCTCCACAGGAGGGTCCCCAGCAGCACAGCCAGCCAGGCTTTCCATGATGCTGGACTGTTCTCTCCCCCGTGCTGGCCAGGCCAGCAGCCCCTGGCCACATGTGGCTACTAAGCACTTGAAATTGGCAAATGAGACTGAGTTTTCCATTTATTTAATTTGTATTCAGTATGTTTAAGTTTACAAGGTTAAGTCAGCCAGTGGCGACCATACCGGACAACGCAGGCTGGTTTTAAGAGCTCGTTCGGGTTCTAGGGGGGAGATGTCCAGTGTGGCAGCCCCGGCAGCTCCAGCCCAGAGGCACCGTTTCCTACACTCCTGCAAAGGCCTCACCGCGTGTTGGGGCTGACATGGAAAGGAGTGCAATCTCCTCGGGGCCAGGCCTGTGCTGCCAGACCCTGTGCTGGGCCTCGCATGGCCCTGCCTTCAGGGCGCTTCCAGTCTGGTGGGCCCATTCGAGAGATGTCAGAAGAGGGAGGGTGGACATGCCTTGGGACCCAGTGGTGGAGAGCTTAGCTGGCCAGGCCAGGCTGGGGTTTATTAGGAGACTACTGGAAACTTCCAGAGGGGCCATACCTAAACAGAAGCCGGAAGCATGAGCCAGCACTTGTTGGAGGGAGAGGAAATACCAAGTTCCAAACAGGCAGCAGAGCCGGGCTCAGCAAGAGGGGAGGGGAAGCGACCTATGTTTGTAAGAGACTGGAGGGAGCCGCAAGGCTGGAGTGTGGGGGTGACAAGGCGAAAGGGTGGCCATCCACTTGGAGATAGTGACAGCAAGGTCACCCAGGAGGCTGGGTCATGCCTGGCCTAACCACGCAGCACAAGTCAAAAAATCCGATCCACAAAGAGAAAAAAAATCAAAATTAGAAACTTAGGCCCGGGCCTTGGAGGACACATGGGAAGGCCAGGCACGTACTCACACCTGCTCTGCTCCCTTTTTCCTTTTTCCCTTTGCCTGCTGCAGCCACCCCTCGGGGTGCGTGTGCGTGCACGTACCTCTGAGAAAGGGGAACCAGATACTTCCTCGGAGAAGACGGAACAACACATGATCAGCAGCCGTGGGGCTGCCCAGAGACGGAATAGCCACTTGGGTGTGTCCAGAGGTGGCAAAGGGTCTGGCACACAGTAACGATCTAAAAGGCTGTTTTTAAGTATCAGTGACAGGGGCCTCTGGGTGGCGTGAGGTGGGGGGAGGGCGGCTCTGGCCTGCTGTCATGACCCTGGGCTCACCATATACCATACCATGGGCTCACCAGGTGGGTTTGGAAATGATGCCAGCAGCCCAGCCCACCAGGGTTTGGCCTTCGCCTTCTCTGGGAGTGCCTCACGCTGGGCCAGACCCTACTTCTGAGCCAAGCCGTGGTCCCACTCTCGTACCCTACCACAGTTTCCTCTGCCTTCTCTCCTCTCCGGCCAGGTCCACAGTCACCTGCCACAGCTTCCGAACAAGGCGAGGCTTGCTCTGCAATGAACTGCCGCAGGCAGACCCCAGGACCAGGAAAGTCCCACTGAGCTCTTGCCACACTTGACTTCAAGTATGAGGAAGGGAGTACGTTGTCCAAAGCCAGGGAATTCCAGCAGAGAAATGGCCCCCACCCTGGCTAAACCTTCTGTGAGAACCTAATCAGGGAGCTTCTCTAGGAATCACTCATCACCTATAAATGTCACTTTCCATCTCACAGGGAGGACACCTCATCTTTCCTGGGCACACAGTAGGTGCTCAGCAAACACACACACTTTTCCCAGCATGAAAAGGCACCTGTGACTGTCAGAAATCCCCGAGAGGTCTGTCGAGACTGGGTAACTGACATGACAGATGTAACCACCCATTAGGCTGTGTAGACAGCGGCTTTTGCAAATACACTCACACGCATGACCGAACCCTCCAAGTCACCCCCGTGGGAGGCAGCACCGGTTCTCACTATACCCAGACCGCAAACGAGAAAGCTAAGAGCCAGGTTAGGTCCCATGCGGTACAGGCAGGTCACACCCATGGGAAACTGGGCCACAAATGGGAACTGGGTCCCAAACCAGTGGCCTGTAGGTCAACAGGCTTAGTACCTTTGCCCTATATGCTGTGTACCAACTGCCAGGAAAATCCTTTTTTTTTTTAAATGGATTCTCAAATTTCTCATTAAAAAAAAATAAAAATCAGATAATTGGGCAATACTGGGCCCCCTTCCTACGTGGCCACAGCTGGCCAGAAGTAGAGAAGATGCCCCCATCAACAGGGATAGCCCTTCCTGGTCCCCTCACCCACCCCACACACACACCCAGTGCCTGAACCACACCAGCCCACTTCTCTCATTTAGGTTCCCTGCCCAGCCCCCGGGGGCTTCTGATTTGCCAGGAGCTATTCTGGGCACTGGTGACTATAACCCACCAACTCTGGAGCAGACGGACAGCTTACATTCTAAATGCTTTTATTGCATCAATGCATGCAACTGCCAAACAGCCTCAGCAGGGAGGTGCTACCGTCACTACATACGACACACAGAGAAATTGAGACACAGAGAGGGTAACCGCCCACGGTCCCAGAACGGAGAACAGGCACAGCCAAGATCCAAACTCAAGCAGCAAATAATTAAAGGCCATGTAGTGTGACCAGCAGACACACACACACACACACACACACGTAAGGCCACCCAAAGTGTCATCCAAGCCAGGCCTGGAAGAAAGGGGGATTTCACCAGACAGAGTCGAGAAGAGTCTTTAGAGGCTGAAGGACTTGGGAAGACATGGTGGATTTTATAAACGTGAATCTTGATGTACCGCCCATCAGAAACAGCTGAGGAGGCCGTTCTGCCCCAGAATGCCAAGGCGGTCCTGGTTTCCTGGATGGCTCCACTGTGAAGAGCTCGTCTACAGCCAGGGCACGTGAACGAAGGTCCTTGGGCAGAGAAGAAAGGGGGTGGGGAAGTGGGTGTGTAGTGGGGACAGAGAGGAAAGACTCTACAATTGCACCCAAGACTCTACAATCTTCTACAGCAGGACGTTGACAGGTTAGAGCTGAGATCAGGAAGCAGCCACACAAAGCACCATTCTTAGAGGCACAGAAGTAACTACGTAAACAAACAGTTAATAAGATGTGTTAATCTACTGAGCAGGAGAAAGTAAAGCTGGAGTGGGAGGATGGAATACTAGTGGCTTTGGTTTTCTCTTCCTTTTGGGGTAACTGTGGTCAAGCACAGTGGTGGATTTTTAAGCAGAGGTGTCACCTGATCAGCTTGGGGTTTCACTGAGCAATGGAACTGAGCTGCTCAGTGATTCTGATGGGCAGCCCAGCAGCCTGGGTAAGTGTGTGACCATCCAAAGGTAGTGAGCCCCAGAGACCGGATTCGACACCAGTGCTGCACTCAGTCAGTGGGGCTGTGCTGCCTGGATCAGCTCGACTGGCTGACATCCAGCCGCCACCAGGCCTCTTCACCCAAGACAAGTTACAAGTGCAAACCAAAGCTAGTCTTCTCCCCGATAAGAAGGACCCAGTTCTTTTCTTATTCCACAGAGGATCATGGCTAGTTGAGTAACAATTCTCCACTAATACTGAAGTACGGGAGCCTACAAATTAAAACCTTTCCTGCTGCCCAATATCATAGCTCCAGTTTCCTTCACCCTTGTCCCAGAAGTGGTAACATGCATCGGGTCTGGCCAATCAGACATGGATATTCCTAGCCTCAGTGATTACTGAGAGGTCATGTGACCCACCAGAACCAATGAAACTTCTGGGGCTTTTGTAAAATTTTTTGAAGAACTTTTCCCCATTGAGATGGCTGAGAGGATGGAATGAAAGCCTAGAGGAGTAGGCAGCCATCTTGGCATTATGAGGAGAGAGCCTGGCCAAGAGAGAGGAGAGGGGCAGGGAGGGACATCCCATTAACACCTGAGTTTCTGAACCAAGCAATGCTTCACTGCTTGTTCTAACCCCATACTACACTTTCCTGGATCCTGCACAGCACAACCCCCTCACCTATCACCACTGCTTTCTGGTTTATTGATACCAGCTGGAATTGGATTTCTATCACTTGCAATTGAATGAAGCCTTAAAAAACTGATTGAAAAAAGTCTGAAGGTATAGGAATGCAGATGGGGAGGGGAGAGTCAGCCCACAGTGCACCCCACGGGGAAGCGCCGTAGCTCACAGGTTAATGCTAGAGGGCCTTTGCCCCTGCCAACCACGCCACATTTGCAAGGCGTAGAGACCACGGAACTTAATTCAGCCAAACCTACAAAACCCATTTCTTTGAATCCATCTTAAAGCCAGTTTGCCACAGCTTAAAGTCAGTTTACCTCAATTGATCCTGTGCTTTTTGCCTTATTTCCTAGTTTAGGGAAATATTTGACCACAGTTCTAGGTCTCCTACAAACACAAGCAAATATGTCTCCCAAGATTAGAGTGCAGGTTGCTTCCAGGGATGTCTGGGGCAGAGAAAACCAACTGTTATCTCTGCAGTCAATGACCCATGGAGGGGAGCAGTTTAGAAGTACAAACTCACCTTGGGAGAACAAGCAGATCTTTTACTAGTCAGGAAAAACAAGCCATTTTCCATCCAAGGCTGTTTACCAGAATTTTTTTTGGATCAGCACTTGAAGGCGTTCTAAAAGAGCTCCCTCTGCTTGCATGATGCCTCAGATGTTCAAATCAGAAAACTGTGTCGCATCCATTAGGTGACTCAGACTGAGGGCAACGTATTCAAGTAAAGAAAGGCTGAATGTAGCATAGTCTCCCATTTGAATGTGTCAGTGTGTCAAAAATACAGGCCTGGATCTGATACGCAGCCCAGATAAGCCAAAGCCACCAGCACACCGTGGAAACACCCAGTGTCACCACATGGGGGGCAAGTGTCTCTCTTTAGGGTTTTCTGGTCAATCAGTCACCCAAGTGTCCATGATCTCCCTTGGAAGCGG